ATTATTCATAAAAGATGTACTTTCCGTCAAACAGTCAACTTACTTTCTAAAACTACTGACACAACATTTTACTGACAAAATACTGCTTTGTGGAGATTTATTGATTTTTTATGCAATTTTAATGAGTAACTGCCGTAGATGTGTATCATAATCATGTTAAGGTAGGTAAGGCACAATGTATCATGTAGTTTTTTCATCATTTTTACAAACAATACACAGCAAACATGTTGACCTTTTATTCTGTTTTCTTTGTCATCATATACGCATATCCCTGAAATCACATACCACCTCGAGGAATCTGCATTACGAAATACTTGCTTTTGAAAGAAAATGAATAATATTTTAATATTTTAATTATTCTGAAAGGTTATTGTATTCGGTCGCTATCAACTCCCCATGTACAGAAAACTCTTGCTTTCGACAGGTCCGATTATCTATAATGATACTGGTGAACCGGTAGAATCTTTCCGTATGGCTTAACTACGGAAACAATTATAGACCTACATGTATACTGGTATGAATGATGTGACGTCGTTTCTTTTAGCTGTTTCTATGACGACGACAATGACGTCACCTATAAGCACGACCCGTGCAGCAGGAGTGGACCATTCGGCGTATTATCAATACCAGTATCTGCTCTACTGCAAAAATCTCTGCGCCTATGACGTCAGCTGCCTCTATACTTGCCTGCACTACATGCAGTTCACAATTGGGAGGAAATGAATACCACTGGCAAGGGAAGTTGCAGTATATTTAATTCACCACTGACATAGATTTCAAATAGCTGTTGTTTGAATACGTTATAATCGTTTTTTAAACAATATATCATTATGGTCACCACAGCAGAAGTGACGTCACTGCTGAGAAGATTGCTTCCATATCACCACAGATTGTACAATGTATAATTGCAATCTACCCAGTCCTAGTATTTCCAAATTAGACCAACCTTAGACCAAGTATCCCTCACAAATGTCACAGATAGCTTTATTGTACATTAACATATTGTTTGACGTCTGAGTGACTATTAGTAGGTCTGTTAATGAAAACGCCGAGAAACTGCCCGTTATCTCAACCTCCGCCTCACTTAGATTCCCTAGTAGTAGCTGAATTATCTTTTATTAATTTGTATTTTATTAACTTTTCATTACGTAGCACTAGTGCTGCTGCATTGTGGAAAGCTTCAGAAATACGCCTTATTGACGCACGGCATGCCTTATCCCCAAACTGAATACCAGGTGTATTGATACTGACATATTGATATTATCACAAGTCACAATAAACTTTCATTATGATCCATTAGCTGTGTGATTGTCCTTTTAATTTTATTGTAGATCACAACAAATCGTCATTGCACTGAACTATTGTTTGACCTTTAGTAAAAATGTGCTATAACCAATAAAATTCATTATTATTATTATTATTATTATTATTATTATTATTATTATTATTATTATTAACAACCACGTCCATTACTGTGACAGGATAAGAATCGATCAGGAAACCGAACATTTGGCACAGTATTTTTTAGTGTGTGTGTGCGTGTGTGTGTGTGTGTGTGTGTGTTCACGTGCATGCATGTTTGTGCTTACAGGTTATCAGTCTACTATGGTCGAGTGACATGTTTATCTTAGAGAGACAATTGTCTGTAACCTCAGCACGGCGTTGTATCCATAAATATTACCACTTTCAGTATGTGTAAGGTGATGTTTTATTTACTCACGGCGCACTCTCAACGGTCACAGAATTAAGAATTTACAAACAACCAGGGCACGGATTGAATAGTAGAAAACTTAGCATTCCGATCGATCGTTAATAATGAAGGCAATAAAAACTGAACACAACATTTTCCACCTAGTTGTGCAAATTCAGGTGTATTACAGCTCTTCCTCCGGGTAAACTAGCCCTATCTGTTGCCTTCAGCGGCACGATGTCGTGTTAATTTGGATTTTGATGTCTTTGCACCAGGCTTAATGCCTAATAAAAGAGTTTTATCGTTTTGGCCCTTGACCTCTGGAACGCGTTGTTAATCAAAATTAATTTTTATGTCGTTTAATTTGAAGAGCGACAGGTTATAACGTTAAAACTCGATTTAATAGAGGCAAGACAAGTTTTAAACAGTAAAAAATACTGTGACTTGAAAGTTGTGAAACAATAAAAGGGACACGTTAACATTCTTGTTAAATAAATTCCATAAGTTCTACATATTCGGAAGATTTTCGACTATTTCAGAACACTTCTCTGGTCGGGAAAAAATCCTTTCTAAATGTGTTCTCAGGTGTGGTGTAGGTTCTTACGTAATATGGCCCATCTTCGGGCGATAACATTTTTTTTTAATTTGGAAAATGTTTCGTGCACAGAATTACTCACAGATATATCCGTCAATATCTGGTGAAAATCCAGTGGCCCTGGTCTTTTACACAGCGCATGCGCGCAAGCACTCCCACCTTCCGCACCAAACTGTCTTAATACTACTTCACGTGCTCTCCAGCAAAGGAAATGCCTCTCGTGGCCGTCAGTGGTGTCTATCTGTTGTCTTTGCGCCACGACGTCATATGTGTCGTGCCGGACGGTACTGGACGCTTCCTGTCGACTTGATGCACGTTCAGATGTTTCTCCTGCCTGCAGCGCTCGGGCTCGGCAAATGAGTTCAATCATCCTTTAGACTTTTTTAAAAGATAACTATAAATAAGAGGCGAGTATCTACTTGGTGTGTATAAATGAATGTTATGGGAAGAGTAGGTTATAACTAAGTTTATGGAGATTATAATATGTCTAATTCAATTAACACAGCGATTTTTTGTTTGTTTGTTTGTTTCTGACTTTCTTATCGCTCAGATGATTCGTTCAGATTCGTTCAGGTGAGCCAAAGTGACCTGTCGAGGAAATTACTGTGCCCAATGTTCGGTCATAGCTATGTGCATTATTTATTGGAAATCGTTGATAAAACAGGCAAAATTATGAACATTTCATTTTAAGCTCAATAAAATAACGAGATAAGAGTATTCACTTTCACCTATAGCTTACTTTGACTCTTTTTTCTGGAAAATGTTTACATTCGAATTATATCTGATGTATCAAGTATATTTCCGATTAAAAAAGATGACCTTGTCGTCCGACATTAACTTTTCTAAACAAATAATAATCATGAAGTCGCACTACAAAAACGGTAGTGGTAGTCGGACATTGAGATTAGCTTATTTCTAGTCATCTTAATGTACGGAGAAAAAAGGATATCATATTTAGTGAGAGGCCACTTTCCCTCGGGTCCCGAACAGTAGCAGTGGTTTTGCCTTGTTAAAAAGATTCTAAAGTTCATCAAGTTGTCTTTGCTATTTAATGCGTTTCTAGCTTTAATTGCTACTATTTACTATCAGTTAATAGGATGAAAAATCTCTTTAACGGCAACACAGTGATAATGTCTTTTAATGCTTTTCATAACTGAGTTGAGCGATAAATTCTCATTATACTTAACTCGATCACCCGAGGGGATAATAAAACAAATAAATTTCATTGAAGATATGTCTTCCTCGCAGGCAGATATAAAATATGGAATGTGTAAGGAACAAATCGACCGCCCCTCCGAGGCCTGTACTGGGCCTTGTCTTAGGTCAAAATGTCGGAAATAATTTTTAATGCCCATTTCCCTTACATTGAGGGCCAGAATTTCGTTTTGGGGGCATAATTAAATATATAGAAAATAAATAAATAAACAATACAATTGGCAAACTGCATGCGATCAAACTTATCTTTTTGTCATTTTTTCCAAAATTCCCAAATGAGGAGAGAAAATTGCATGGCGAATAAACTAAATACCGGATTTGCTTCCAGCTCTGTTAAGAAATGCAGGAATTCTAAAATTTTATTGTTTTCTTTGACTTGCTTGTCTTGCATTTGTTTTACATTTCATGAATAATGTCCGCTGATGTTTATGACTTTTTAAGCGGTGCTGATTTCGATATTTTACCATTCTTTCGTTTGCAAGAGCAGCGCGCAGACGACAGGTTTACCGACGACCATGGGCGGCGTCTCTCGTCTGCTAAGTTATTGCAGCTTGTTTTCATTGCTGATGGTATTGTCCAGAATCTCGCAATGTGATGCACAGGCTGGTAAGTTATTTATTTATTTATTTAAATGTAAAAATTCTTCAAATGTAAAAATGACAAGCGTTATCAGTTTTTAAATATATATATATTTACTGAGATCAATCCATTTTATTTTTATTCAGCTTAAATTGTACTGGTGTCTAAACTGGTGCGAAACCAGTCAAACACTCAATGTTCACGTGGTTTTAAGTAAAATAAGACAAATGCAACATTATTTAACAACTTTAAACTGGAAGAAGCGATTGCGTCCGGTGACTACGATAGATTTCACAGTGACACCATGATTTTCCTTTCTCGAAAAGTAATTGCATATTCTTCTTGAAAAGCAGAATATGAAATAGGACGCCTTAACGATATTAATATTAGTCATTTACTCCCTGATGATGGTGACTGACAGTCACAGAAATATTGGAGGAAATACCCACATATTTTACAAGCTCTTGATAAAAAGAAAAACAATAATTTGAATTAATATGAGTCAATTTTGGAATGTCGTTGTTTTAGAGAAAATTAAAACATAAGCATTGTGTTTTCCTCTATGTCTTCAAATGTTATATGTTAAATTCTGATTTTCTTCCAATTGTAAGCTTTTCTTTTATATAAAGAAATATAATATAAAATAATATATAAATATAAAAGAAATATGAAGAATATAAAGAAAATAATAAGTTATACAAGCCGATATTTCATTTGTAGCTCTGTTAACAATGAAAAAAGAAATTATTGTAACGGTAAAACAATAACTGGCTGATTAGCTTGATTTCGATTCCCGTTCCACCGGAACAAACATCACATTTTCCGTTTTTCATGAATGTCATATATTCACAGATGACCTGCTCAATAATGCGTCGGATCCTACTTCACACAATTTTTGCCTCATTTCAGGTCGGCGGCTGGGGTTACAAGGAATGACGGTCGCAGCCGCCGATATAGCAGCGTGCAGGACTGCATGCATGAACATGCCGGGGTGCGCCGCCTTTGATTTTACCACCGTGGGCCCCACGTGCACGCTGTACCAGGCCCCTATCGCCTGTCTGAGACCTCTTATCGTAGATGCTACAGCAACATTTGAAGTCGTAAGGCTCGATTTGTGTCGTAAGTCTCATTCTATACTATACCTCTATACTGTTCCAATAAATGCTCTTGTTTCAGAAAGCCTAATCAGGCATACTCGATGACGTCAGTTGTGTCTATCTTGAAATTTGCCTGCAATCATTTCAGGTTCGCAGACATCGAAGTCGTCTTTATCAACCGGTTTCTTGTCCATAAACATAATTGAAATACTATAGAATGCAAGTCGACAACATGATGTTTCGTTGCGTAAAATACAGTCAATCAGTTAGTTAAATCCATCATACACCAAAACTCTTTTGTATTTATTGTTGGGATTGTGTACCATTCTAAGACTGGGTTCCCACAGATTTAGATCGACCCATCTGGATCGACCTAACTCACGCTAAATTGCTGTCAGCTTCCGGGAGCCGAGCGCGCGCAAAAGTTAAAGCCATAATAACTCTTCTTTTTGGCCATAAATTCGATTTACCTGGAGTAAACGGCAATTTTCCTGTACTTACCAATGGTTAGCGACCCCATTCCTGCATTCAAAGTTAGTCCAGGTTTTTTCCTAAACGTTTGGTTTTTTGTCAAAATCTCTTAAGAGATTTTCACTGACGGAGCCCTCTCTGACTTTGCATAGTCACGCGATATCGAGCGATAGTTTCTGGTGACCTACTCAAAACCGCGGGAAAAGCAGAAAACAACAACATTATATAACAATCATATAAGATTTATAAGCTACATTCTTCTTATTGCTCAAAATGCATTTATATCTACAATGTGTGCAATTCTGGGCTTTTCGTTATCCGACGCACTGTACAAAAACTCCCGTCTTACGTTTGCGTATTTGCATCAGGCGTTTGGCGCCAGAAGTTATTTTGGTCTCGTATGAACGCGAGATTCCGCGTGACACCCTAACGTCATTGGCAACGGATGCCGTAACGACCGGGAAGAAAGGCACCGAAAGCCCCATTGACAAGCACAGATTTTAGTTTTACTACAAGAACGGCCGTTTTAGTGGTAAAATGCAAGAGAATATATTTCCATGCGTTGTTTACAATGTATTTCTTGCGGAATTTTGTATCTCAAAGGAAGAGTTATTATTGCTTTAATTACCCCCTTACAGCTTTTAGTAGGTGGGACAGACATTGAAGCCGGTTTAGCTGACAGCAATCTAGTGAGAGTTTTCGGGGGGTAGATCGATCTAAATATCTGTGGGAATGTTCTGTAAGATTCAGATACCATACGAATATAATATAAAATAAAACACAAAATATTTCAACATTCAATATTACAGACATTGTGGCATACACTATCCTCTATACCTGATTAAATTCTTTAAGAATATAAACACCAACAAATGAAATTTTCACGTCTAATTCCCCTTTCTGAAAGCATCAACAGTCAGTCTGTACCTTGGACAACAATGAGCAGCCGTCCATTGTAAAATTTCACCAAAGGTATTGTCAGTCGCGCTTAAATGTATATAACGTAATGCGGTATAAAAAACAGAACTTATTTGATTTCCCCTTCCAGCGTTTATGCCTCCTGGTTCCATCCCCGCGAAGTTCGACACTCAAGATGCCGGGTTCACCATCCCGGGGGGTATGGCCAACTCCGCCAACAACATCACGGCATGTGTGGCAGCATGTTCTACGGGCTGTTTCGGCATCAGCTTCGACTACAGCTCCACTGCCAGTACCAGATGTTTCTTACTCATGACAATGACCGCTGTCTGTATGACGCCCTTGGTGCCTTCCTCGGCAGGGGTGGTATACAGGGTAGCCTGCCCAGGTAACTTCTTAGCGGATAATTTCTCTCGCGACCTCTCTAGGTATGACAGTTCCTTGTGAAACAAATTTGGTTAAGTGAAGGACACAGGTGTGTTTCTTTCGTGTCCCGCAGTTAATCGCGTGCTTTCTGTGTTTGTGTGCGTTGGGGGGGGGGGGGGGGGGGCAGGGGGGGGCATTTGCTGCCAGAGGCCAGATTAGTGGTAAAAACGTTGAGAGAAGAGCCGATCTTTAAAATAATAATCGATGTTTTAATTATTTTTTCTTTATCCAATGTAAATGTAAAGAACAAGAGAATGCAAAATAATAGTAATAAAGTAGGGGGAAGAGATTGTAATGACCCGAAACGTTTAAAAGGATGCAAAGCGCCTCTTTATGTAAGTGCACTACTTTTTTAATCTCATGATCACTTCTATTTTTCTATCTCGAAATGGACTGAAAAGTTAGGTCTTGGGGTTGACATTTGAAAGTAGCATTTTTCTTCAAACAGCAGATTCTACCAGTAGTGGTGGCGTTATATTGGACATAGCACCAATTTAAAAATATTTCCAAAAATAAATATTTTGCTCTTCAACTCCATTCATGTTGGGGGCTTAACCCTGTTATGTTTTGTTCAGTGGGCACAGGTTTGCCTGCTAAATTTGGAACGAGCATGCTGAATATGGAACTGATGGGCGGGACGACGGTACCGCAGGCCAGAACGCTGCAGTCCTGCGCTGCTAACTGCGGGTCCAGCTGCATTGCCATCACCTTCGACACAGCGACCTTGATGTGCCGGACCCACTTCTCGGCCACTGGGTGTAACGCAGCTGTCACCAACTTGAACGCCATCACTGTCAGATGTGCAGTCTGCAGTAAGTATCAGACGGCTACCATGTGACTCAATCCAGCAGACCTAAATAGTTCGTTAAGATATTGGCAGTTAATTATGAGGTATTTTGTTTTTCATTCCACGTCCCATACTTGAAGCTTACCAAAAAGATATATGGAGACCGTCAACTACATGTCTTTGATCTCATTGTCTTTCTCATTGTCAGACACTGCCCCCGGAGCCAACACCACCACGTGTTTCGGCAACATGGAGACGCTGACATGCGCCACGGGAATCGTCTCCATCGCTTCTGCCACATATGGTCGGGTCGTGGGGTCTCAAGTCTGCCTGCCAAACATGGGCAATCCCCCGGCTTGTACGGAACCCAATATTTTCCCTATAGTACAGTCGATTTGCAACAATAATGCCGGGACGTGTAATGTAATGAACAGCATTAATACCTTACAAACGGCAGCGATGACTATTCCTATTGGCTTCGCAGGGTGTATGGCTGACTCGTCTCCGGTTCTGATGATACAGTATAACTGCGTCAGTAAGTATATTAACAGCTGACTGCCACTGTAACGTGACGGAGAGTCCCTCATGAAAGAGTTCGCTTCCCATTCATTTGTACAGGTGAGCCTCGCCCTAGATTTTGACCCACTTAGGTCAGGCTAACCCTAACCATTTTAACTGTATGAAAGGCGGACTTTTACGCGGACCTTAGTTTCGTTACGCCGGTTGTGAAGCGATATTGCCACGCATGCCCACTTACAAGCACTGCGGGTGCCTAAACTGAGACCCTTTTACGACCCCTTCTATCAGTTGCGTCGTATCACTTTTCAAACCTATTTATCGTTGGTTGGCTTTGTTTGCCAAAGCATCCCCTTTAATTCACTTATTTTTAGAATACATGTGTTTTGTGCCCATTATACTGTAATATGTCCTGTGTCACGTGTTCAAGCCGTCTTGGTGTTCAGATATTGCTTTTTCAAATTACTTAAATTAAAATTTTTAACAACGCTATTAATCTTGAAATAACATAAAGGGTTAATACGCCAAACTCGTGTATTTTCTGTTTAAACATTTACAAAGTTGAACTGCTGTACACCGTACACGTTATTGGCGCGAACGTTCACATACGTTCACGTATAGAATGCTTCTGTATTTCTTCTAAAAATCAAACTTTAACTTTTTTTTTTTTTTCATCAAAATGTGCTACCTGATAATATAAACGCAACATGCCTATCTTCAATTGAAAAAAATGCGATTAATCTCTCAAAGAAATAATTGTTCTTTATAACTATGACACGGTGACCTGATCACGTGATCGCAGAACGTTCAAGTCACGCGCCATTGGACTTTTTCTTGTAATACTATATAGTTCCAGCATGGTAATCAGTCTTTTAACTCTGTTTTGTACGTATGTCATTAGCACTTGGACGATTAAACTATTCATAAACTATTTGCAGTTTGTATACTGTTAAATCTTATCTTCCTCTGTTTTTCAGCAACCACGCCTATTTGTAAGTATGCTTTTATCTAATAATAATAATAATAATTATAATAATAATAATAATATCATGATCTCAAGGGAACGTTTGTGAGATTTGTTCTGTTATGCATTTGGCGACTTGCTTTTTGAATAGGGATATTTGAATGTAAGAGCGCTGTTTATGCAAAGTAAGTATTTACCCGTACCAATCCAATGCATCTTTATCAGGTAGGATAAATTTTACCAAAAAATCTATGCAGAAGACGCCTACCACACTAACTTGTGAACTGTTGAGGGTTATTAAACTTTGAAATAAGAAACGTTTCTTATTTGATCCACCCATATTATGAAAAGAATACTTGGAATGGATGCTGTTAGAGATTGATTGTCACCCAAAAGCATTTAACTAGAAACTTAGAACTTACAATAATCAACCTTGCCATCCCCCCCCACCTCCCTCCCCCCACCCCTGTCCTATCCTTCCTCTCACACTGCCTGTCTTTGATATCGTACGTCTGTAAAACTATAGTGTTTAATACTTTCAGCGACAATACCGCCATCTACAGTGACGCCTACCACACTAACCATGCCGCCTACGTTCAGTAAGTGAACATCGTCTTCCTAACGCTACACGTAGCTCTGAAATTTAGATAAAATGACGGAATATTTCGACCACTGGATGTGTATGTATTATCTCTGTTTCACTGTGTCAGTGTTCACAAAACCGTAGGTGCATTCCGCTCAAACGGTCAAATTTAAAGATAAAGAACAAGCCAGGGTACAGCTTGTAGACATTTCGTACCAAATTACCACTACTCGGTTCTTACATAACTCAAATACCCATGAGGTTGTCAACAACCAAACAAGTGGTAGTGGCTCGTTTCCACCTCCTGAATCTATGAACATCTCCCCTTGTTTTGTTTCAGTGGCACAGATGTACACAGTGACAATGGGCGCCCACATCCCCAACGGCGTCCAGCTCCCGGGGGCCAACTACACCTCAGCCACTTCCTGCACCACCGCCTGTGACAGCATGTCTACCTGTATCGCCGCCGACTGGAACGTGGCCTTCAATACGTGTTTCCTTCACACTGCTGTCACTGGATGTAACGCTCTGGTCAACAAGACGACCTGTAATAACTACAGGAGAGTAGGAGCTTGTACAAGTGAGTGAGTTGTGCTAAACGCGCGTGGAAATTGAAACACGCGCGTATTGTGCATTTTTTCAGCCAACGAGGTCCTTCCCAGATTGTCTGAAACTTGTGTGTAGTCACTTTGTGACGTCATAGAAAACGAGAACACGAGTATTATTGGCTTAACTTTTAACAATCAGCGTGAAGCTCTATGCACTGTTGCCTTAGAAAGCAATACCAAAGCCATTCGCAAAACGTGATAAATCTGTACTGATGTGCAACAGACTATGATTCTACGGAACTTAAGCGAAAACAAACAGAAGAATAACTATGGATAAATTCTGTCAGCTTACTCGTTTCTGTACCGCACCCGCTAGACTGCCATTATTTATGACCCACTCCCATCCAAATTCCGCGATATCTCGCTGGTTTATACGCTAAAGCGCGAGACGATGAGCTACCTCTGATATTTCCTATTATACTCATTCAGATAAGCACTTACGCGAGTACAAATCTGTTCTTGCATCAAATATACGCACACAGTTGTTTTTCCACACCTTCATACACACGCATGTTGATGGAATTAACATTCACTGAGTCTAAACCCGCTCCTATCCGACTTAATATATGCATAAGCAAAACAGTCTCTCCATGCTATTTATATAAGCGAAGTGTTTGCAATATAGGCCTATACGTTTTCGTAGATGTTTAATAAGTATCTTCGAGTAAGTGAAATGTTTCTATGGAAGTTTAAACATATCTTGTTTTTTCACATTGTCCAAAATTTGAAAATAATTTGATATATATTTTACTTTCAGCGACAACAACACCTTCTACACGTAAGTGTTCCTATATTTCATTGATACTATACCAACTTGTAAAGCATGGGCATTTTAATGGAAACGTACCAGGCGAATTATTCCTGATAGAACACCCTGGTAAAACATAATATGGTGGCGCTTTTGACATCTATATAAACTGTACATAATGTCTGATGTTTGCTATCTTATCTACTCATTTTAAAAACTGTATTAGTATCTCGGTCAGCATCAATTTCGGAATCATGTTCGTTCAGGGAGTCTTTCAATATCTCCAAATACCGATATCTCAGCAGTACCAGTTTTATACAGCAAGTACTTTACACTCACATGCACGTACATACATGGAAACATACATCCATGCATTTTACAGGTATGTACATGTATGTGTACACACACGCGCAAGCACACACACACACACACACACACATACACACACACACACACACAAGGAAAGAGAGAAAGAGTGAGAGAGAGAGGGCTTAATATATCAATGTCAGATATTCCATTTCAGTGACCCTTGCCCAGCTCTTGGCTAATTTCAATGTCACCCCCAACATGAACATCATGGGTGGTGTGGAGCAGACCAACCTGACTTCTCTCATGGCCTGCGCGGCTGCCTGCAACTCGAACCCAATGTGTTTCGGATTTGACTACAACAACGGGACCAGCGGGTGCTACTTCTTCTTCGGGATGGCCGTGTGCGGAACCTTGCGGTCGGCTCCCGGTGTGAATCATTACAGGNAGTGCGGAACCTTGCAGTCGGCTCCCGGTGTGAACCATTACAGGAGGATCACCGTGTTCTGTGGCGCAACACCAGCCACTACCCCCGCTACCACAGCCGCCCCGATCGTCCCGACCGTCACCTTCCCATCCTTCACATTACCGAACATTTTCCTTCCAAATAATCCTAACAACATCATTTCGAACTTATGTAAGTATATGTATATGTATATGGTGACGGTTTCACACACACACACACACACACACGCACACAGCCACACAAACGTGCATAAACACACTCACAAACTGTCAAACACACACACCTTTACTGACCGCAGGCGAATGCAGTGTTTTGCTTTATCATTTGTTTGATTAACTTGTCTTGTTTACTATTTTTTGAGGGAGGGGGGTTGTTAAGGGGGAGAGGGGAAGCTGAGGGAGGGGACACATAACCCAAACTGCCCCCTGGCTTCGCCCTTGCCTAGGTACATGCCGGGCAATTAGCCACTGCAGGATAATGTGTACCTTATGAGCTGAGGAGAGGAGAGACATGCCAATATTGGTTATGTTTTTATGATTTTAGAACATTGTAAATTGTCATCCATAACGTTGAATGATGATCACTAATTACTTGAGCTTCGCGCTGCAATGTTATTCCTGGTCTGTGAAAGACTGTTTATCTTTTTTTAATGATATTATGTGTTCTATGGTAAATGATTTAAATGATTTAAAAGATTGAAAAAAAAATAGAACTAGAGGTTGGTTGGAGTGAGGATGTGGTTGTGATAACTGTTATATTACCCCCCCTGATTCACACCCAAGGTTATTGTACATCTGTTTACTGGCACTCCCTTTTTGTTTTCCAGTTGGTATTCCGACCCTTAATATTCCGGGACTCAATAATATTCCGGGACTCAATATCCCAGGCCTGAATATTCCGCCGGCAACAACGACCACCATCAACCCATTCCTGAGTTTCTTTCAGAATCAGCTGGCACCACAGCAGCGTAAGTTGTCATGTTTGTTTGGCTGTTTATGTATGTTTGTGTGTGTGTGTGTGGGGGTGGGGGGGGGGGGGGTTGCTGTTCCTCTTTACGGTCAGTCTGCCTTTGCGTCTGCTGGTCCTTTTGTCTGTGTTTGTAAGTTTGTATGCTTCATTCTGTCCCTGTGTATTTTTTACTTATTCATTGTTAATAACCCATTCATTTATTTCTTGAATTATCTATTTATCACAGAAATTATTAAGTGATTAGCACACCATATACAATAGAGACAAAACGAATAATAATAACGAAAGGCATAAACTCATCTTTTGTTACTCAAATTATAAGTTCTTATTCTAAATCTTAATTTCAGAGAATTTTGCAAGTTTCTTACCAGTGACCGGCGCCCCGCCTGTATTCCCACAGTTCCAACAATTCCCACAATTCCAACAATTCCCACAGTTTCCTGGAGGCGGTGGTGCTTTTGGTTTTGGTAAGCGTAGGAAGCGCTCAGTGGAAGAGAAGCACGCGGCTCGTGACATTTCGCCCCTAAGAGGATAGCCAGCTCGGAGTTGGCCTCTCATCTGCATTCGTCACGGCATTATTGTAATTGACCTAGGATATACTAGTCTTAACAATATTTCAGAAGTGAGGCGAATGCATGTTTTATTTAGAAAGAGATAGCATAAGACAAATTTCGGTCTTGTATATCTATGAGAACATCAAAAAAGCGTTCTCTTCTCTGTTCTTGTCAAGAGTTGATTATCAAAGTTCCTCTTTTTGTCTTTAGTTATTGTCAGACCATGGACCACGCACCTTCATGTAAGTTAATCTATGATGAAGTACTGTAGAGATATTTAATTTACTTGTTTATTGAGTTTGTGATTTAAAAGAAAAAGAGTCTTTAAGCTCGTTGTGCGAATTAAGCAATTTTATACGGTGATACAGATATCTTCATTTTGAATCCATGTAGCAAAGAAAAATGATTACACCTAACAAAATATATAACATGATACATCTAATGTAATAGAAATAACGTGTGGCGTAGCTTGGATGCCTTGAAAGGCAAATTAAAAATAATCATATGACGATAAAGATATGGTTTATATAGTAGGGATCGTCAAATGACGGTTGATTGTCATAGTAAAGCGGACCATTTCATAAGGGGTTCAGAAAGGGGGCAAAGTGGGGGTCTCTTTACCCCCTTGTTAGCCCCAGCTATTGGTCGGTCTATAAATGTGAGATATAAGTGTAAAAGTGGGTGTAATATTGTAGGAAATACATGTTTTTATGATTCACATATCACCACAAAGTGTTTGTTGTAGTATTGTCACACTGTTTTCTGGGGTAGAAAGGGGCCTGCCAGCGAGCACCCCCTCCATTTCCCCCACTTTCCAAAACAAACTTTAGCTCCCATTACAGACGTAAAACGTGAGAGACGCAGACGCATGTTTCTTGCCTTAAGTGTTGTCCCATTTAAGTCAAACTTTTAAAATAGTATCAGTACAGATAGTTTGCGCGAGAGAAAAAAAGAATTAAACTTCGTCTTTTCGATCTGGTAAGTGGGAATTCGAGAGGTGGTAGTTCACGAGCCACAAATGTCAGCTACAGAAGACACCAATCTAGTCGACTTCACGATTTTTAGCAACGTATACAACATTGCCGTTCACGAGGATGAATTCAAAATTTTACAGCAGTATAATTTTAATGTGCTGCTGCATGTGCGTATTGTACTTATACATGTACTATAGTGTATCTGTGGCGGGCTGACGTACAAGTTTTCTAAACGGAACTGAATGTCACCCGCGGGTCGAACCGTGGCTCAGCAAGGACCTGGGTTGTTAACAAATAGCCAGAGACAACAATGGACTTTAGTCATGCGCTCAAGAGATGTTATCAATCGTTCCATCACGGTCTGTATTCTCAACTGTCGGAGGTAGACTTGTCGCTAAACATGTAGATGATGTCTTTAAAAGCAACGGAGAATTTTTTTGTCGAACATTTTAAAACGGACCATTGCCCTCGCAGTGCTATATGTATGTGGTCTCAGTTTTCGCCTGGAACGATGTGGACCACAAGTGCTATAATATTTGTTTTTCATGACCTTCTGTCCTTTTACTATTTAATATGTTTATTGTGGATTCAACCAACAGTTACAACAGATAACTCCTCGATTCAACGCAGGGCTAGTTTTAGTCTCCATTGCAACCCCTAGAGCAGTGAAATAGGCTCGCTTGACAAACATGTAATTATAATAATAATAATAATAATTTATTGAGCACTGAAATGTTTTTACATTTAGAGGCTCTCTAACTACTATACATTATACATACGAAAAGATAGTAGTGATAGTAAGTAATTATTTGATTATGTGATCTGAGCGCTTTGTCGGTAAAATTTATCCAATTTTGGACTCAAGAATCATCAGCAGCTTCATAAAAGTTTGTGAAGGTAAATGAAGATAAAGAGTTCGGTTATAAAACTTTTCCATCAACCTTTTCGCTTAAATTTGAGTTGACTGGTCACATAGAAATTGCATAAATGGGCTCAGACATGCAGAAAAGAGAAAAGCAAAAACATAATGGTATACAGTATGTGTTGTCTTTTATTAACACGGATAGTTGATATTACTAAAATAATAAACAGCTTATCCAAAATACTCTCAATGGCGAAGATATAAAACAAAATTCACTCTAATCCCCAACATCATATTCCCACTGACCAATGATAAAATTCTTTTACACTAATAATTCGAGCCGTTTCATAATATAAAACGAAACGACCCACTTTTATCGCGTATTACTTTTAAAGCTTTGCTTTTGAACATAACCTTGCTTGAAACTATTTCTATTTCTAGTCGAAAAAAGACCGTAATACTCGTAATGTCAGGATAATATGCTATTATGTGCCATTATACACAACTGAACATATACATGTATAGAATTTAGTCGTAATAGTGTGCACAAAATGAGGAAAAAGTGACTACTTACTTTCCTATTTTATACATCTGGTTGTTTTCCGGCTGATAATACACATGTTCACAAAGTCAGCATACACGATGCCACTGTCCGGCACGGTTTTTACTACTACATCACAATGTGTTCAGTCAAAAATATAACATATATGTTCAATCTTGTTATATATATAGTGCCACCACAGTCATATTCAGATGATACTGCTCTATATACATTCAAAACGTAGGCATATTATAAACATGTAGTACATATCTAATCGCTGATAATGTTCAGTGTTATGATACTGATCGCAAAGAATAATTTTTCACAAAATAAGTAATATTTCAAACAGCCCTCTCTAAAGTTTTCAGCTCAAAATTAATTCAAGTATCTCTCAGTCGTTATATTGCTCACATCAGATTTTTTCCTATTTTGCTGACAGATAAATGAAAATAAGGATTGAATCGTGTTTTAATGACTTTTAATAATCTATTTGATGTCATTGTGACATCAGACCATTAATTGAATTCGCCAGTGCAGCAAACAAAAATACATTGCCCATTCTAAGTCATACGAAAACCATTGAAAGCGATATTTTGGATCTCCATATTCTCCAAATTATCGTCTTTAAAAGAGTTACACGCCCCACAAAGGACCCTCATGTCATTGTCTAGTCACATCAACAGTCGCTGTTACGCCTGACCTCATCTGGCTGCTACCAGAGCTTTCTAGCGGCAAGGCATTCGTTGGGATAGGTTTTTAGATTTTAATCTGGAATAAAAATTCAGGCAACGGTCAAAACTTGTCCAATTTGGTTCAGTTTTGTTGTAGAACATGCAGACCGTTGACTCGGCGAGTAATGACCTACTCACATATTGTCTATGTGGTTCAAAAATGGCGATTTTGATGACCAAGGCAGCTGCTCATTCCTTTGGTTCTGTAAGTTATCTGCTATTAAAAGTGCTCTGTATGAATGGGCAATCTCATTGTGCAACCTAACATTGTTCCTAAGGTGCCCCCTATCAAATGATACCACATTGACTGATTACTTAATTTCATCTGGTTCAGGTTTTCATCGATGACTGCCACTGGACTTTTGGCACCAATGTGATATCCACTCCAAATACTGACGTTGCCAATAATCCTAGTATCTTTAGAAGCGGCACACGCTTCGTCGTAGGTCTCTCAGGATGCCTGTAAACTCTGTTTTGACCAGTTGAGCGGTACAGGTGAAATCTGACCTTAATAAAGAAAGCCACGCGGTTTCAGTGTTCTACCCAGAAACGGTCATGGTTCTCAATTCATTAGAGAAACAGACGACGCTGTTTTGCTGTTTACAGTGGCTTCCTCAGAGGTCGTCTGGTATTATAACCTGCTGAAACCAGTTTGGTTTTCGCTAAGAGCTTTGAAAAACGCGTTTTGGTGACAATTTGCCCCCCACTGTGAATTGACTGGGTGGTTTGTGTTCAGTTGCAGCAGCATATCAGGAAGGACAGTGAGACCCTGTACACTGATGGTAAGATTTCGATACATTGGGCGTGGTCTTTGTGTAGGTACATCAGCCTGGGCATAACTTTATAAAACTGTGTGGACCATTCCGTGTGACACAATAATCTGTCTGGCAATGTCTGTCTTTTTCGTGCCATTCTGGCACAGATAAACAATTTTGTAAAACACTCCCTAACTCATTTTACGCACTGCAAAACCGACCGCTTACATACCGAATTTCAAATTCTTCGATGCAGTAGTTGACGACATATAGATACTTTTTGACAGAACCATTCTTCGCCAAAGCCGAGCTTTGACCTGCCCAAAGGAGCACTACCCAATTAAATCACTGCATATTACACAATGCAGCAGTGCAACAGATATAGTAGTCAGTTAATTGGTAGCGACACACCCGACTTAACACTTGTCCAGTCAGATATTTTATGTAAGATGATCTGAGTTTTTTTTTTTTAAAGAACGCATTTTTACCAAGGTATACCTTTTAAACTGAAACAGTCCATATTAAATGTCAAGTCTGTATTTTAAATTTATTGTCATTAACTGCGTAGGTACACTTGAACTTACATTATTTTACTTCATATTGTATTTTAGCTAATGATAAAATGAACATGTGCATCACTCAGTCCTCTAGTTACTGGTTCTCATTTAAAATGCATTCCCCTATTCACACTCCAACAAGGAGGAGCAGGGTCTAAGATAACTTCAGTAGTCGGGACAGGCTGAGGCATATCGCAGGGGGGAGGCATATTGCATATTGCTGTGTGCCTCGTCTGCGCCTAGAAATACCTCGCGAAATATTAAATTATACCGATACTTTTATTGAGAGCATATTTGTTTTTATGTACAGACACTTTTACCGATAACACGATAAGTGGAAAACCGTTTTTTTTTTTGGCTTGAAAATCACAGAACTGATGAATATTCATAATATGCAGGTCAAGTTCGAAAATAATCATGATCGCGCAATTTTCATGGAAGTTATGCTGTTTTTTCACTTTTTTCAACATATATGCAACACCGATAACGAGATAAATGAAGAACCGTTTTACCTTTTAGCTTGAAACTTACAGAACTGATGAATATTTATAATACGCAGGTCAAGTTCGAAAATCAGCATGATCGGTCCATTTTTATAAAAGTTATGCTGTTTTT